AGTGACACAACCTTTATTTTTGTGCTTGGACATTGAGGGAAACCCTCTGTAGCTGAGCTAATCTCTCCTGGTATGTGCATTTCTGGCTAAAGCCATGTGTGTACAGATACCTGCTAACATTAGAACCGGAGCTGGCTTTTTGCTGAGGCTTCAAAACAAATTTAGTCAAAGAAAGCAAGTGTGTAAGATTTTTGTGGTGCTGAAATAGTTTGCAGGATGCCTTTGCTCTAAAAGTACTTTTTCATGAATTTGTTTTCAATAAGCTGGATCCAGCCATCCACTGTAGGTCTGAAATGACTGTGTTTATTATTCATTGTATTTATTTAGGGCTGGTGCTGTTGGGAGTAGGAGAAGGTGTTGGCTCTCTAAGAGTAAACCTAACCAACGTTTGTACTTTATAAATTTTAAGGCCAAGAGGGAAAAGGCATTGTGCTCATGTGGACTTTCCAGAGACAGAACATTTTCTTTACTTATGTGATCCTTATTCTGAGTCAAATCTCTTTAGCTGAATTTAGACTTCTTTTAGGAAAAATGAAAAGTCTACCTTAAATTTTTCAGTGAAATTTTCCACCAGAGCTGATAGACTGTTGTAATGAATAATTATGCTTATTGATAATAATTACCCTATTTCTAATGTAAGAAAATCTTACATTAATCTCCACTTGTAGTGGAGTACATTCCTGAGTCATTTACAAGCTCTACCAGTATCCACCACCCAGTTTTGAGGGGGAAGGGGGAGGCACTGTTAGAAAACACATTCTCTCAGCAGTGACCTTCCATTTATTGTTAGATTTTGAGACATACCAATTATCTGGCTTTTAACTCAATTTATGTGTGCCACACTTACTGTGTAGCTTTACAGTTTCATAACTCAAACATCATGGGGAATTAAGTTGAATGTCATACCAAACTCTAAAGGTATCACCTTAGCAATAACGCATCTATTTATCAAACCAGTATTCTCCTCAGAAAATATCTAGTTAGCTTGACAAGATGTGTTTTCCTAAACCTATGCTGTTTAACATCAATTATTTATTTTAATATTTTATTAATTGAGTGAGATCTTCATTATTTTGGCAGGATTTCTGTCAGGATGACAGGCTGTGATTTCTTAGCTCACCCTGCTAAAGTTTATCTTCTTTAAAATGTCATCGCTTTCCTACCATTTTCCACCCAATGGTGTGTTCAGCATGCAGAAAGTCACTTCGGGACTTACAAGAAAAATCACATTTTCCCCGAGTTGTTTTGCACTGTGAAAATCACTTTCTCCATTCAGCTGATTTTGAGACCAGTGAAGAGCAGCCAGGAATGAGTCGAATCAGGAGGCAATCATGCTCTGAGCAGGTGAAGCTGCTCACATGAGACCGGTCATAGGTGCTGAGGGAGCAAATACCATGGCCTGGCTGGCCAGCCCTTAGCTCTTGGTAGGCCTGCAGGGATAACAAAGGGACTCCCTGTGCCCAGCGATGTCCTCCACTCCCCAGATGCACGGCTGTGAATGACAGCAGTACTTGTGGCTTGTTTTTTCTTTACATGGCAGGGAAAAGGGCACAATTTGGTTCTGAACCTGTACCTCTTTTGGGGGTTTATAATGGATTTGAAAGAGGTGATGCAAAGGAGGAGGTGACCATGAGAATTGTTTTCCTGCATTTTGCCAAAGGTTTTTGCAAGGCAATGAAACAACTGGACATTGTCATTTTGATAGGTAGTGTGGACATCTTCTGCTCAGTGTTTTTTATAATAATTTTAGAGGAAGGCTTGGGACCCACGTCTTCGTTCCTCCAGAGAATGCCCAAGAAATGTATTAGCAGCTATTCCATGCAAAGTAGCACAGTGGCAAGAGAGTGCTGCAGGCGTCCTCAACCCAGGATAATTTCTGATCGTTGAGGGCATGACACATGTGGGCTTAGCCCCTCCCAGGTGCAACCTGTGTTTTCAACACTGCAGGTGATGAGCTGGGGTCTGGGACCCAGACACATGGTGGAGAGCCTCCCCAGCCCTGGGCTGCTCCAGGGAGCAGAGCTGTGAGCCTCAGCTGAAGAGGATGGAGACATCAATGCCCCCTTAACATCAGGAGCTCAATGTAGGGCTCACCAAGAGGCACCTCTCCGAGAACATGGCACTTCCCAGGCACCTTGCTGGCTCTTTGGGAAGTTCCCCTCTCAGCTGACTTTCCCAGCTGCACCCAGAGGCATCCATGTGGGTCAGGCTTGGGCTTCCCATCAGCACAAGGGGATTAAAAGCAGTTCTGCTCTTCCTCAGAGGATAATTGTGAGGAGAAATGCATTAAGGACATAGAAATGCTACGGTAATGAGGGCTATGTGAATGCATACTGAGAAAGGCAGAAAAGAGCACGCAAATAGGAACTTATTGGACAAACAGTGGACATTTATAAGGAAAACAAGATTACCTAGCACTGCAATAATAAGAAGTAGAAATAGAAAAGAATTTTTAAAGCTGTATAAAGCCACCAGCCACTAAGAAACAGGCTTTGATAGATTCCATTGTGATGCTTCTTTCTGGGTGCCTGGTCTGGACAAGTACAGAAAGGAACTGAGCCAAGTGGATTAGAGGTCACCTCGACATGAGTAATGCTTATTTTCCTGTCATTAGTAACTACATATAGGCTGTCAGTAGTCATATTCACTATTCAGTCCAACATAAATCTGTTTATTCTTCATGTAAACATGCTGTGACAAGCCATCAAGGAGCACATGGTGCATAGGCATGTGACAAGCCTTGCTTTATACCCTGTCTCTGCCATTTGTTATTCTCATTTGTTGTGCCAAGGAGCAACCCAGTCTCACCATCTTGTTTTGCTTTATGACTAGTTTGGTTAACCTTGCCTTTGAGGAAGAACAAGGACTAGATAAGGCTATCTGTACTTAACCCATTTTTTATGTTCTCATCTAATTTGACATGGCATCTGCTGATAGATGTGTTTCCTTTCATTTCAGTGCAACCTTTTGTGTTTGTCAGGACAACACCAGCAGGGTAGAGTTGGCCCTGAGACTGTGCTCCTTCATACAAACATTGTGTCATCTTTGAAATGCCTTCTGTTCTGAAATCTTAGAATTGAAAAATATTGAAAACTTTCAGAGAATATTAAAAACATTTGCTTTACTGAGACACAATAAATAGTTCCATCACTCACTGAAAACTGATTTCTGAAGCTGACATAGTAATAAAGTAGAAACTCAGTTGGTGAATGGACACATTGTCAAATGAGGAGCCAGGAACCACTAGCGCTGCAAATCGCTTAATTTTTCAGCCTTATTTTTCTCTGTTGTAGGAAAAAAAAACCCACAACCAAACATGAAAACACACGTACACAGAGTCAATATATGTACAATAAATTGAAGGCAATAATTGCTAGACAAGAATGGTCATAGTGGTAGCAAGTGTTGAAGGCTGATGCATGTGAGAAAGAAGGACCTTTTATGTGGCACCAAATGCTGAACAGCCCATACATTATCAAGCTGTTGGCTTTATTATTTTGATTTCTTCTTATAGTTCTTTACCTAGTCTTTTTCTAATGTGCTCCTGCAGATTTCTCGGGGTGAATATTGCCAATTCTTCTATAGATTGTGCAACTGGAAAACAACCTTTTCTCAGTAATTGTGTACTTCAGGATTTAACCTAATGAGTGTTAACCTAAGAGTATGTGTATGTCTTTTGCTAATCAAACACAGGAGGCACAGGAGATCATAGAACAGAATCATAGAATCATTTTGGTAGGAAAAGACCTTTAAGACCATCAAGTCCAACCATTATCCTCACTCTACCAAGCCCACCACTAAACCATGTCCCTAAGCACCACATCTATACGTCTTTTGAACACCTCCAGGGTTGGTGACCCCACCATCTCCCTGGGCAGCTTGTTCTGAGTTGTCGGCTCATAATAAATGACGAGGGGGTGATGACATATTTTAACTTGTGCAGCTATTTGTGATGTGTATAAGAGGAAGTTCAGAATACAGGATATATCGGATCAAACAATTAGACTAAAAAAAACAAAAACTTTTTGCTATATTTAATTCTCTCCCCTACTTAACTGAACATGTAGATTTAGACAATCCCATTGATTGACTCATTATTAAACTTCGCTTGGAGTCTATGTGGTTGTGCACACTGCATTAAGGGTCTCTTCCCCCTCTGCAATACACTGGTACTGCTCATGGCATTGTCTGTTGCTCACTGTCCTTCAGGAAATAAATGTCCCCTTAAAGCATGAGAAAAGGAATATGGCCCTGAAGGAAAATTTTTTAACTAAATGCCACCAGAATTGTTTCTGATGCAAAATATTGCTTGTTTTGAGTGATACTTACATAGACAATTCCAGCCCTAAATTGAATGAGAAAAATGTAATAATAATCGCTTATATTTTCATGAGTTAACATTTGTTAATGGTAATGTTTCTTAACTATTGGACTTAGAATTCAATGACAATGTAATGGGAAAGAAGCTTGTCAAAGTGTAGTCCTCTAAAAGCAATTAATAAATGTAATAAAGTTCCTGTTCCTTTAAAACAAATCCCCCTCCAAGGTTACAATGACAGCAGCTGCAATACTGATTGGTAGGCACTGCTGCAGCTCCCTGATAAAACTCCCCTAATGGGGTCTGAAAGCCTACCCTTATCAGTGTAACATCTCTCTCTAAAACTAAATCTGATGCAGCAGGCAGTGGCAAATGCAGTGGGAGAAGAGGTTTCCCACGGGGAGCAGAGCTGAGCCTTTCTCCTTCACGCCAAGCACCAAATTGTGAACAAGACTAACACAGAGAACTTGGTCATCTGGGGGACCATGACAAGAAATATCTATTACCAAACAGAGGAGTTGATTCCTTGTGAAAAAAAAACAACAGCTCCTAAATGTGAAATAACCTCTTTACATGTATCTATGGCCTTGGCATAGTGCTATTGCATGGGTGACTGAAGCATATCTGATTATACACTGTTCATTTGGGAGAACTCATGCATTTTTCCACACTCTTTTTACAGCTCCCAAATCTACCTTTTGTCCCACTGAAGAGACCTGGTGGCCAGGCCTGGTTATTATCATTGCAGTATGCTGCGCCACACTAGTGTTCCTCTTCGTAGTTGTCATCATTTGCTACAAAGCCATAAAAAGGTAAGACTCCAGATGCTTTTACTGTGCTTAGGACAATGCAACCCCACAAATGTTGACCCAAGACTTGGCTGACACCTTGTTTTGTTTAAAGGCATCCTAAAGGCAAAATGCATCCTGTAGTCAATGTGTGTTTTCATTAGAAAGTCACTTTATGTACCATATCCTGCCTGTGTAAAGGGTGAAGTTCAATGCACAGTCATGGGCATGAGGAGGAGAAAAACTAGAAATGGGACAAAGCCACAATGTTCAGATTAATAAGATCTTCCCTGAAGTCAGATTGTTGCAGGTTGCCAGGGAATGTCAATAGCTTTGGCTTGGCCAAGTGCAGAGGTAGTAAACACTGTCCTATCCACTTCTGGTAGTATTCAAAATTTACATGTGGGATGTGAGATTTTTGGCCCAGGCCCATCACTAGTTGTAGCATTTCAAATGAATGCAAGCTCTTTTAACTCAAACTCTTGGGTAATTTGTGTAGTTTTAATTTCAAGACTTTACTTCTAATTTAGTCTAGCTTCAAAATTATAGTCTACAGAATCAAATTCAAAACCTGTCTCTTTTAATGTAAAAGCATGTGTGAAGCATGTGTACAACATGGTGTGTAGTAACCATTTCAGCTCATTATCTTTGCAATAGATGTGCTTGCATAGACCTCCGGTAGTTAGAAAGTATTGACTTCAATTACATAGGAAAATGGGAGTGGTAATTATTTCTTCACATAAATGATATTTCCTATTTCTGGTGGAATAAGTCAAAACTTGAACATTTCTGTAGGAAAGCTCCAACTGCAATTACAAATCATTGATTTAGAGAAGAAAGTAGCTGGTGGGAAATGTAGCCTGGACAGATGGAGTTTCTCTTCTACTGTATTGGTTTCAGTATGGATGTGACAACACCCTGCAGTCATGGCTTTGTGGTGTCACTATTTTATACCATGGGGGTCTTGGGCAGGAGGTGTTACTACAGCCAGGTGACCCAGCCTGCAGTAGAGAATGCAATATGCAATCCATAATTCTCATGAGATACTGCAGTGACATCTGAATTGCAACTTGGATTAAATGTGGGTTTTTTCAACTGTGGTTTTTGAGTAATATTTTTGTAAAAAAAGGAAAATAATTGAAAATACCTTTCATGAAAAATACTATCTGCATGCAAAGCAATTGCAAGATTTCTGATGAACCTCAGCAGGGATATCACAATGGTGGAGCACATGCTTCATGGTTGTCTGAAAAATTTATGCAGGATTTGAAGGATAGTGTATCCAAGAGCATCAAAAAGGGAGAATTCAAACAAGAAGACAGAACTCTGTATTTAATTTCTTATTAAATTTACATAAGTATATTTGCTATTCTGGTTTAGCTTAAATGAATGCTTATTAGTTTTGAGGAGTTGTAAAGCTTTCACTGTAGCAACTAAACTTTTAAAAAATCATCTATGGAGGGCTGAAATTGGAGTCCAATTGGATTGGTACCACAATGCAAAATCTCTTACTTGTAGTTCCTAATCTACCATTGGCTGCTCATAGGGGATTAGTCTAATTCCATGTGGAAAGTTGTATTAGTTTCAAAAACAACTATTGTATTTGTCTGCCTAGTGCCAAATTGTGAATGATTTCTGCCAAGGCTATCAAATATACCTATTGGAGCCGTAACTCTCCAGGGCAACTTGTGCCTAGTGAGGCATTGTTTTTCAAATCTGCTGTGATGCTGGTAGATGGGAGGAACAGAAAAGAAATTTAAACAGAGAAATTTAGAGCTGCCTTGAAAAGGCTTTGAGAGTTCACATAACAGTCTCATGCTTCATGTCGGTGAAGAATAATACATGATGAAGACACCCATTATTTGTCAACAGTGTGAATATCAATGTGTAAGTCAACTGCTTGAACAAGCATTAGGCTCAGAGAAAAATGAAAATTCCCCTTAGATCTTCTTATTGTTGACATTCACACTGCTGACAAACGCTAAGCTGAAAACTGCTCAGATGTGGGATGGACAACTATAAAAGAAAATCTTATTAATTGTATTTTTACAGAGTAACTAGAGCATTTCTTTTCATCAATGAGTCCTTCCTAAAACAGCTCAGCTAAAAGGATGCCCTAAAGTGCCTGGCAGCATTCCACAGTAGTTCAGATTCCTTGATCCACTGTAAAAGATATCTATTGATAAATGCTGGGAAATAAGATACTTCACAAGAGAAGCATCTCTGCCTTCAACATAGAGTATTATCACATATTGTTCAGCTGAATTGGCTTTAGCTACTGTGAGAGATCTTTCATTCTGTTTTTTGCTGGGAGGTAGGGTTGTCTAGAGAAAGAGTAAGGGGATTAATCTGGGTGATGCTGAAGCCAAGAGTCCCTCCAGTGTGTTCCGAGCCTCTGGCTCCATAACCATGCCCTGCCCTGTCCTTTCTCAGACCCCCATCCCACCAGCTCTCCTCTGAACTCCTCCTCCCAGGCCCTCGTTCCTTCACATCTCCTGGAATTGGGACTTCTGTCATTGCAGCATCTCTGACAAATCTGTCTCCCACCTCCACCGAAGAGATGCTGAAGAGTGAAATAACAGCAGTCACCTGGTTGTAGGGTATAGAAAGAGTTAAATGTTTTAGTAGGAAAGTGCAGGCAGAGATTTATTTGCACAGAGCTTGGATCTGTTGTATTAATCTCTCATTTTCATAAGAATCAAATTTGAAGCAGTAAGAAAAAGAAAAATCCTATTTTGCTTAACTTAAAATCTCATTTACTGGTTTCAAAGGGCCAGACCCAATCAAACACTCTCATGGCTGCTTTTCTGTAGCAGGGAGAGGGAGTGACTGTCCTCGAGGTATCGTAAGTCAACTGTATTTTTATTCAGTCCGTATAAAAACGGTTTCTCCTGGGGTGGTTTGTTTTCCCTTGTAAAAGCGAAAACTTCAGCATATCCTGGTCCATGCAGGAACTAATACCAAAATGTGTCAGTCAGCTTTAGCACTCGGAGAACTGCTGGACAGGTTAAACTCTTGGGAAGATACATATGGGGCAATTCTTCAAAGGCTCTTAAAGCAGCCTCTAAATTTCCTGTGTGATGCTGGTGTGTGCAGTGTTGGACGCTGCATGACTGCACACGGAGTATATGCTGCTGCATAGATGAAGTACCAGAGGAGACTGCACGTGATACTCTGTCGTACTGTGGCATGGTTACACACACGGTGACAGCACCCTCAGTTTGGCTGTAGAGGAACAGCTATTTTCTCTGGTCTTGATGACAGAGGGGTATTTCCTCTTTTTAAAAAAATGTAAATTTTCCCTCAAGAAACTTTTCCATGGCAGATAAGAAAAAATTTAAGGGTTGACTCTTAGCACTGGCAGCAATCACAGTCTATGTAGGTTTCTAGGACAGGCTTGATCACTTGGTAGGGCTCAGACCCACTGTAAGCAGTGGGACTTTTCTACTCATTTCGTGGATAAGGAAAGTGATCTCGCAACCAGCGATTTCTGTAACATATAGCAAGAGCAGACAAATAGGCTACAAAGATGATGAGGGGACTGGAGCATCTCTCTTATGAGGAAAAAGGCTGAGAGACCTGGGGCTTTTTAGCCTGAAGAAGAGAAGACTGAGAGGGGACCTCATGAACACTTACAAATATCTAAAGGGTGGGTATCAAGAGGATGAGGCCAGGCTCTTTCAGTGGTACCCAGCGACAGGACAAACTGGAGCACAGGAAGTTCCACCTGAACATCAGGAAAATTTTCTTTATGTTGAGTTGTCAGAGCAATGGAAGAGGCTGCCCAGAGAGGTTGTGGAGTCTCCTTCCCTGGACATATTCAAAACCCACCTGGGCACGTTCCTGTGTAACCTGCTGTAGGTGAACTTGCTTTAGCAGGGGGGTTGGACTAGATGATCTCCAGAGGTCCCTTCCAACCCCCGCCATTCCGTGATTCTGTGAATAACTGGTTCAAAATCTGAAACACCTCCAAGTGTTTCTTTACCATGTCTCTGTCTGTAAAAACCTGCCATTCTTTCCCTTTCCCTGGAAAACTGTCACCAGGCATTAAAAGCAGGAGGTCCAAGGACAATTCATAAACTAGCACAGGCTGGAGGAACCTGGATCATTTCAGTATTACATGGTTTGTGGACTTGGGCAAGTGCACTGTGAATGCCAGAAGCTCTAACAAATCTTCATCTGGTGTAAATCAGTGCAGATTCAAAAACATAAGTGGAGCTCGATTCATTTTAAACAGCTCTGGAGGTGGCTGTCTCTTAAGCCTCTTTTTAACATCTCCAAGCACCTGAATAATAGTAAGACAGTAAGACTGTGGAGGGAAGCGGGAAGTAAACACAGTAAAGAGGATTACTGAGAGTTGTTTGGTAAATAAGCAACTGAGATGGGGGAGAGAGGGACCTGCAGTATGTAATCCTATTTCTGCAGCTCACTGGTGTGTCAGTGTCTGTGAGGGGAGTAAGATACTTACATAAAAGGGAAAAATAAATCCCTGGCTCCCTGTATAAAATTAAGATACTGGAGCCGTTTCTCAGACCTCGAAGGGGAAAGCAAAGCTGAGCATCCTGGTCTCTGTGCCAGCTGATGCACCAGCTATGCAACCTGGCAGGACGTGTTTCAGATGGTTCTCCAACATGTGAAAAACCTATACTTAGTATTTCCAGAACATCAATACACTCTGAGCTGACCCGTGAGCAGCCCGTTGTGCCCAGCAATGTGACTCCTTGGTTCTGCTGGATTTTAGGTAGGAGGAATACCTCTGCTGTCAGATGTAACACAAGGTTTGCTGCCAAAGAGACCCATTGCTAAGTCAGCAGAGAAAGCAGGCTGATGATAGTAAAGTTTTACATGATATACCTTTTACTCAGTATTCTAACTTTGTCAAGCAACTGTTTTATATGTGTCCCATAATGTGAGAGCAAGGTACCATAAATGCTTACATATGCTTTTCCTTAAATAGGCACCAAGTTCACCTTCAAATAATAATTAAATGGAAGAAAACATTGTACTGAAATAAAATGTCATAT